AGGTCCTTCAGGGGTCTACAGCGTTGGGTGTTCAATGGGGGCTCTGGAGTGTTGGGGGACCCTCAAGATGTTTGGGGGTGCCTACAGCAATGGGGCACCCCCTAAACTCTTGGGGGGTCCCAGGGGGACCCTACAGATATGGGGGACCCCAAAAGTCTTCGGGGTCTACAGCGTTGGAGGACCCTCAAGGTCCTTCAGGGGTCTACAGCGTTGGGTGTTCAATGGGGGCTCTGGAGGGTTGGGGGGGGAGTGTTGGGGGACCCTCAAGATGTTTGGGGGTCTCTACAGCAAAGGGGCACCCCCTAAAATCTTGGGGGGGTCCCACGGGGACCCTACGGATATGGGGGACCCCGAAGGTCTTGGAGGTCTACAGCGTTGGAGGACCCTTGAGGTCCTTCAGGGGTCTACAGCATTGAGGGGACCCTTGAAGACCTTGAGGGTTCAATGGGGTGTTGGGGGACCCTCGAGGTCTTTTGGGGGTCCCTAAAGCAATGGGGCACCCCCTAAACTCTGGGGGGGTCCCACGGGGACCCTACGGATATGGGGGACCCCGAAGGTCTTGGAGGTCTACAGCGTTGGAGGACCCTTGAGGTCCTTCAGGGGCCTACAGCATTGAGGGGACCCTTGCAGACCTTGAGGGTTCAATGGGGTGTTGGGGGACCCTCGAGGTCTTTTGGGGGTCCCTAAAGCAATGGGGCACCCCCTAAACTCTTGGGGGGTCCCACGGGGACCCTACGGATATGGGGGACCCCAAAAGTCTTCGGGGTCTACAGCATTGGAGGACCCTCGAGGTCCTTGGGGGTCCGTCAAGGGTCTACAGAGTTGGGGATCCCTCAAGGTCCTTGGGGGTCCCTACAGCTGTGGGGGACCCCTAAACTCCTGGGGGTCCTTCAGGGGTCTACAGCGTTGGGGTCCCTCAAGGTCCTTGGGGGTCCCACAGCTGTGGGGCATCCCCTAACTCTTGGGGGTCCCACGGGGACCCTACGATGTTGGAGGAACCCCAAAGTCCTTGGGGGTCCCACAGGGTCCCTGCTGTGTCACCGGGTCACCCTGTGGCTGTGGGGGTCCTGTCCCCGGGGTACCCTCAACCCTGCCGTCACCCAGCGCTGGTGTCCCCAACCCACCTGACCCCGTGTCACCGGGTGTCCCCAACCCCCATCACTGGGTGTCCCCAACGCCCCCCGTCCCCTGTCACGGGGTGTCCCCCCTATCACCAGGTGTCCCCAACCCCCGTCACGGGCTGTCCCCCACTGTCACTGGGTGACCCCAACGCCTGTCCCTGTCACCGGGTGTCCCCACTGCCTGTCACCGGGTGTCCCCAACCCTGTCACCAGGTGTCCCCAAGCCTGTCCCCTGGTGTCCCCAACCCCTGTCACCGGTTGTCCCCAACCCCTGTCACGGGGTGTCCCCCTTATTACCCGCTGTCCCCAACCCCCTGTCCCCGTCACCGGGTGTCCCCAATCCCTGTCACTGGGTGTCCCCCACTGTCACTGGGTGTCCCCAACGCCTGTCCCTGTCACTGGGTGTCCCCAATCCCTGTCACCGGGTGTCCCCCACTGTCACCGGGTGTCCCCAACGCCTGTCACTGGGTGTCCCCACTGCCTGTCACCGGGTGTCCCCCACCCCCGTCACTGGGTGTCCCCCACCATCACCGGGGTGTCCCCAACACGTGTCCCTGTCACCGGGTGTCCCCACTGCCTGTCACCAGGTGTCCCCCACTGTCACCGGGTGTCCCCAACCCCCGTCACCGGGTGTCCCCCACCATCACTGGGGTGTCCCCAACGCCTGCCCCCGTCACTCGGTGTCCCCAACTCCCGTCACCGGGTGTCCCCAAACCCCGTCACCGGGTGACCACTGTCACCGGGTGTCCCCAATTCCTGTCCCTGTCACCGG